CGAAGCGAGCTTGTAAAAACAATATTGGATATTGAATGTAAAAGCTGTGAGTATTTTCCAATTCAACGTTACTTCTTGTCACCCTGTCGGGATTCTCGCGCTTGTGTTGCACTTGAAGTTGTTACATTATAAGTCTATAATGTGTGTTTCCCACAGTTTTTTTCCAGTGAAGTTAAAGAATAGTCACTCATATGTTAGATCTAACATCCCTGGACATAAGATTTTCCTAATTTAACACCAGTTTTTTCCTAAACTGACATTATTCAGCGTACATCCTGTTTATTGCGCCTAAACTACTTTAAAGACTTCTATGATTGTTAAGTCCTGCTGAAAACTATCACTGAGTTCTGGTCCGTGCCATTAAACAAACCATTCGATAACAGATTCAGAATTTACTCACTATAGGTTGCTAGGATTATTTCGGAATTACTGACATTTAATTCAGCATTATTGTCAGCTTGGGATATTCCACTGCATTGCACACGTTGAGCATTTCAACTTCATTTGTGTGTTCGTTTCTCTCATGTTTTTATATCATTTACCTTTACAGCTTTTAAAGCTTAATGTTTCAGGTATTTTTGTAAAAAGACACACCACTAACGCCTACAGTGTGATGCAAATTTAAACTATCCAGTCACACCTCGTATGGTCGATTGGTTGCAGTAGGAATCCTGTGTAGCCATCCTTCTTATGAACTTTTCAGAACGTGATTCTTTTTGAAGTAATAGCTAGCTGGCTGAATTAGATTCCCCATGTGTTTATTTATTATCATTGAAAAGCAAATAGTCTGATTCTGTAATGAATCTAGATAATTATGAAGTCGTTTAGAGTCGTGGAACTTCAGAGATATGCCATGATCTCCATAAATCTTCACTTCCATAACTTAACTATTAGGAAAGTCAGTGGGAATTATAACGAGTTAGCTTCCCACTTCATAAGCAATGTAAGCCTATGTTTCTTGTTGTAAATATTCTTTCCCACGTCCACAATGGTCCTTTACCCTCGTTAATTTCGCACATTATAAATAAAGACAGACGTATATAGCACGAAATTTCAGTGTTTTTGCATCTTTGGTTTTGAATAATGGATGCCGGATGTCACTAGGTGTCACTTACGTCACTACGTATATAATAACATTAAAAATGGTGACACGTACCACTGGCTGTGCTTACTTCAGGTTATTACTCTCCATATACTCTTACACGAAATCATGAGTACGAGAATATACCTCAACTGCTACAATATAATTTCTCAGGAAAACTACGTAGAGTGAATACATGGAGAACGAATACACACACCAGAGATATATTTTACAGACGGATTTTATAGATCAAAAGTTTATACGAAGCATCATTTTTCCATAACGCAATGTCCTAACCACTAGACCACAGCAATCGTGGCTCCAGCTGAAGAGGATGTCAGAAAATAGAAGAAAGTGGTGTGTTGTTGAAGCCCTATGTTCCACTCAGAACCCAAGGGAGTGATAACAATAATTATTTCCCACTCTGACACAGACTTAACTTTGCTAAAGTAAATTTCATGGTTTCTTTCCGTACATAAATGTTTATTATTATTACTATTCCCTTGGGTTCCTAGTGGAACATAGGGCTTCAACTGCACGTCTCCACTTGCTTCTGTCTTCTGCTGTACTTTTCACCTGCATCCATGTTAGTCCATACTGTTTCAGCTCCTCTTCACACGATCTCCTCCATGTCACCCTTGGACGTCCCACTCGCCACTTCCCTTTCGGGTTCCACTCGAGGGCCTGACGCGCTATGTCACCCAACGGCCTCCTCAGCGAGTGTCCAATCCATCTCCACTTTCTCCTGCATACTTGTTGGGCGATTGGCTCTTGTTTTGTTTGTTCCCAAAGTTCCTTGTTGGTGATTCTTTCTGGCCATCTGATCTTCAGTATAGAGCGAAGACAGCTGTTTATAAAGGTCTGCAGCCTGTTGAAAATATTCTTGGTGACCCGCCAAGTTTCTGATCCGTATAGCAAAACTGACTTGACGTTTGTGTTGAAAATCCGTATTTTGTTGTTGATGCTGAGTGACGAAGATTTCCAGATTGGTTTCAGGTTGATGAATGTGTTTCTCGCCTTACCGATTCTCGATTTGACATCCTCGTCCGTTCCTCCTGTGGTTGAGACAATGCTCCCAAGATAAGTGAAAGAAGTAACCTCTTTCAAATCCTTCCCGTTGATGGTGATTGGTGCTGGATGTTGCTGTTGTTGTTGTTGTTGGCTGGTTATTTTCATAACCTCCGTCTTGTCTATGTTCACCTGCAGTCCTGTCTTTGCTGCTTCTTTGACGAGTTTGTCGGTTTTCGCTTGTAAGTCTTCGATTTTGTGTGACATCAAACATAAATCATCTGCGAAATCCAGGTCTTCTAGGTTCTTCACGTCGGTCCAGGATATCCCTGTCTTCTTGTTTCCCACTGTCTGATGCATAATCCAGTCCACCACAATAAGGAATATCATTGGTGATAATAAGCACCCTTGTCTGACTCCTGTGTTTACTCCAAACGCCTCGCTGAGCTTTCCGTTTTGGATCACTTGACATGTGCCGTTGTCGTACAGCTGTTGAATAAGGTTGATGAATATTTGGGGTACGCCGTAGTACTCGAGTAGTTTCCAAATTACTTCGCGGTTAACGCTGTCGAAAGCCTTCTCAAAGTCTATGAAGTTGAGGTAGAGGTTTGATTGCCATTCCATGCTTTGTTCGATGATAATGCGTAGAGTTGCAATTTGGTCAGAATATGATTTGCCTTTCCTGAATCCAGCTTGTTCGGGGCTGGCAGAGTTCTGTATCCAGTGCATCCTTTATTCTCTCCAGGATGATGCGACTCAGGATTTTACTTGGCGTCGACAGGAGCATGATTCCTCGTCAGTTCTTGCAGAGTCCTAGGTCGCCCTTCTTTGGTAGTTTCACGAGGTAACCTTTCCTCCAGTCAGTAGGCACCTTTCCCTCTTTCCAGACCTTTTGCAATAATGGAGTCAGCATATCTGCTGTCGCCTTCGGGTCCGCTTTCAGTGCTTCCGGGGGTATTCCATCTGGTCCAGCTGCTTTTCCAGCTTTCAGAAGCTTGATTGCATTCAAGACTTCAGCTTTCGTTGGAGGATTGGTGTCAACTTGCAGTTGTGTACCTGCTGTTGTTGGTATTTCTGTACGGGTTGCAGGTGGTGGTCGGTTCAAGAGTCCTTTGAAGTGGTCCGCCCATTGTTTAATCTGTCTTTCTTCTTTGGTAATTGGGTTCCCTTGGCTGTCTTTTATAGGTTTCACTTGTGTTGATCTCTTCCCGGATAGAGACTTGGTTATCTGATATAGTGTCCTCAGGTCCCTTTTGCCTGCTGCCTTCTCAGCTTCACTAGCCAGATTATCATAGAATCGTCTTTTGTCCTTCCTGGCACTCCTCTTCACTTCTTTGTCCAGTGCTGTGTAGGTTGAGCTCAGCGACTCTTCCTCTTGTCCATCTTTGCATCGAATCTCTTTCTCTTTCACCATTCTCCTCTCCTCTATTAGCTTCCAAGTGTCTGTTGAGAGTCATTCCTTGTCTTGTTTCTTCTTTCTTCCTAAAACCGTTGAACACGTTTCGTTAAAAATCACCTTCAGAGAGTTCCAATGGTCTTCCACGCATGATTCTTCCGTGATGTCACGTAGTGTTTCCTGCTTTGCTCTGACAGCTGCAGTGAAAATGTCCTTTGTGGTTGTGTCCTTCAGTTTTTGCGTGTTGAACTTGCATTGTGGCCTATCCCCAGGTATCCTCGAGGCTTTCAGCTTCACCTTGAAAGTCCCTTGTACTAGATAGTGGTCTGAACCCACATCTGCTCCTCTCCTCGACCTTGTGTCCAGTAGGCTCCGTCTCCACTTCCTTGAGATTGAAATGAAGTCTATCTGGTTTTTAGTGTGTCCATCTGGTGAAATCCATGTTGCCTTGTGTATATCCTTGTGTTTGAACACACTGCCACCAATCACCAAATCGTTGAAGGCACAGAAGTCTGAGAAGAGTTCACCATTGTCGTTCACTTCACTGAGGGCCTCGCGACCCATGGTGAGTTCTCTTCCTGTATTGTCTCCTCCCAGTTTCACATTCATATCACCCATGAGGATTTTGATATCGCTATTTGGGACGTTGTCCATTACTGCTTGTGGTTGTCTGTAGAAGGCCTCCTTCTTCTCTTGTTCCGAGACGTTTGTAGGCGCATAGCATTGAATGATTGTAACCTTCCTTCCTTTTGAGTTGAACCTGGCTGTAATTATCCTGGAGGAGATTGGTTCCCACTGCATGAGAGCTTTGGCTGCTGTTGGTGATATCATGATGGCCACTCCTTCGGTGTGCTCGTGGTTGTCCTCTGGGTGACCGGAGTAGATTATTGTCTCTCCAGTTGGCAGTTATCTCCTTCCACATCCGTTCCATCTGCTCTCGCAGATTCCCGCAACTTCCAATTTTATATCTTCTCATTTCTGCCGCTACCTGGGCAGCCTTTCCAGTTTCGTACATTGTACGAATATTCCACGTCCCCATCCTTATTTTTGCTTTCATCGAAAGAAGGCACATCGGCTGACTGGCTTCCCGAAGGCTTTCACCAGCCTGCATCATTTAACCTCCACGATTCGAGCGAAAAATAAGGTTATTGTTTATATTTTCAGAATTTTTAATATATTTGTGAGTTGAAGTTTCTGTAGCGATTTGGTTAAGTATAGGGGGTGAAGTTGCTAGCACCACGCCCCAACCCTCCCTCTTTATCCGGGCTTGAGACCGGCTAGAAAACTAGTGAACTAGTAATCTAGGCGAGGTTACATAAATGTTACTTTTGATGTAATTAACCTATCGGTAATAAAAAAACGGTAAGAAAGTCACTTTGCTCATTGTTTTAAACTTGCAAAATTTTCTTCATGTGTTTTTATTTTTCAGCTACTTTTACCCATTAGGACTGTTTACATATACGATGCAAGTGCAGTTGTAACAATTTTTGGGTGTTTGCTAACTGAGTGTCATTCATGTCACACTACCGTGGAAGCATAAAGGATGATGGGTGGTCGGAACATGTAAGAAATTGTTCGGTAACCATATGATGTAGCTGTGAATTTAGGATCAAAAGGTTGAATAACATGATTTCTTGTTTGTTTGTTTATCATCACAAAAATTTAATGCAGAAGTATTCTATACATATTGAAGTGTTTTCATGAGTGCTCATCAAATAATGCAGGTGATAAGTTTTGTGTTGTGTTTGTAGTGTTATACATGAAGGAAGTTATGCATAACGCGTTACCCCTGACTTTGATTTCCGTCTAAAGTAATAGCTTAGAGAGCCTTGGTGTTTTCTGTACTCATCCTGGTTATCTGTATTGCTTGGCATCGAGAAATTGTGTTTTATGGATGAAATTTTATTTCTTTCAAATAGTTGTATGCATAAGACGCTTAGTGTACTGCATCTTATCTGACTTCTGAATAATGTCAAAAACAATTTGTATCTTAGCTAATTATCTATCAGAATTCCATGACTGAATGATTAATGCGCTACTCTTTGTAGTATAGAGTGCTCTAAGGTTCCAAATTTTCCCGATCAAGTGGAATGATATATGGGGAAATAAGTGTTATCATGTTGTGGTGTTTAACTACCATTCATTATTGTTAATTGCCTTGTACAGTAAGGTCAATATATTGCTCATAATCATGATTGTTACTGTCCTTGTGGTTGATTTTATAGTTGACATCTGCCTACATTTCACTCTTCAGTCTTTGAATAGTTACGTTTACTTACGATGTTTTAATAAGCTTTCGTACGTCTATGAAATACCTCTACTGTGAGTTTTTTCTGGTGATTTTCTTGATTGCTTAACCCTCACTAACAGGTCTAGAGCTCAAATGATTGTATAACCATTAACATAAAACAGCCTGCAGCATGGTACATGAGCTGCTTCAGTTTTATTTTTATACAAGTTAGTGACTACTGTTTGAGTGTTAGTTGCGGAAACTATATTACACGTTATTTACAGTTCTGGTATGTATGCCTAAGTATAAAAGGAATCCACAGCTTTGCCTAGGTAGAAAGAGACAGATAAAATTATATTCGGACTTTCTAAATCATGTAACTCACTTCCATCTTTGGAAAATAGCTAAAATAGGCTTCTGGCGTACAGATAGAGAATTATAAGTTATAATCCTTCTCCGCTTACCAAAATTACTATGTGTAACATTATTTAGCCCTTGTAAAATGTGTTTGATTGATAACCTTTCATCTTGTATCATAGTAAGTTGTCACTGAGCTGCAATAGCTTTTGTATACTGGATAGTATTTCTCATCCTCATAAGACTTATTTAGTATTCAAACTCCCACACATACACTTAGCTGTTCGGTGTTCTTTGATTTCGAAGGTGATGTTGACTGTTGTCTAGACATACCTTGAAATAAATCATTTTTCACCAAAATCAGTAACTGAGCATATTTGTTGGATCAAATAAATCAGTTTGGATATATGCACAGTTACGTTAACCAGAGGAATCATGACATGTTTCAGTTATACTAGGACGTCTTTACGGTTCATTTATTACATTCATCAAAGTATTAACGAACACTTCATGACGAACCGTTAAAGGGTCAAAGGGGGAATCGGAGTCCGTTGTCACTTATATTTTAGGTCTGCGATTAAATATTGTCAACGTTTTGCTCTGACTTTATAATTTTTAGTTCTTACAAAATTTTTGAACCACTGACCCAGCAATTCGTTATTAATACTCTCCCATCAGTAACGTGTACTGACCCATGTTTAAAGCTTTTTATTATTGCTGCAGTAGATTTAAGCAACATCAATATTTCCAAAAGAGTTCAGCTTATAATTTTCTCAGGAATGGTAAATTTAGTTGAAACCAATATCTCACATCATATATGTAGAGCTATTTTTAGAAAATGAATTTTCACTTCCAGTAAAAGTCTACATTTATTAAAACTTTATCCGTTATATTGAGTGTTCAATCAACAAAAATACTTAGACCCCACTTATTCTGACAAATTATTATCTTAAAACAGGGTGGATACATGCGTGCTAAGAAACTGAAGTTGGAAAAACAATTCAACGAACAAGAAGTATCTGGTCCTTCAATTTTCGGTGGTGTATCTATTTATGTGAACGGCTATACAGGTTTCTTCAATTTCTCAGTCATTTTTGATACTCTCACCTGTAGACCCATCAGCTTCAACCTTACGTGATTTAATAACACGTCATGGAGGTCGTTACCAGGCATACTACAGTCGATCAGCTGTCACCCATGTGATCGCCAGTCGTCTGCCTTATGGGAAAATAAATAGATTGTCAGATGAGAAGATTGTTACTGCGAATTGGATTACTGAAAGGTAACTATGTGTTTTCCAGTCAGTTGTTTTGTGCTACACCTTTCTGAGGGAAGTCATAGTTATTATTTTCGTAATATTTGTTTCCATCTGGAAAATTCGAAGATTTCAGCAGCATTTTATTTTAATATGTCATAGACTAGAAAAGTGATGGTACGTTTGACGTTGGTTACTTGTTTATGCTTAGTTTGACTGCATAGCTTCACGTTAGTTGGTGTTACCGTTGTTTGTTCTTGAATCGTACTGCTATGTTAAACGAAATTCACAATAATCTCTATACAGAAATTTCACTCATTAAGTTTCATAAAAATTTCTATTTCACTTCATCAATATTTGTTTGCAACCGTGCAGCATGATTATTCCTAACAGCAGATTTGCTTTGCGGACTGATATCACTTTTTATAATTTTGTCAAGTTGCATTGGTAATTCGCATAGAGAAAACAATTTATTTATATAACTTTATTCCTCGAACACTCGTGGCATTATAGTATTCGAAAGGAGAAATTAGTTTCATGATTCCACTATCCTCTGCACCGAGTAAGAATCAGCATTAGGGGTAATCAATTATTCTTTGAAATTATTCTTAACAAAAGGTATCCATAAATAAGCATTAACAAAAGTGTAACTTATGTACAGATTCATTAAAAGTTACGATTATATGACTGTAAGACTTTTCCTTATAGGGAAACGATAAGTTCGCCGTCCGAGTGAGACATGGAGTAGATCGTGCTAGAAGGTGGTCAGAAACTATGAATAGTCGTGGGACAGGTAAATATGAGGGTAGAGAACAGGAAAATGTGGAAATGTGCTGTGCTATGTTCCACTCGGGACCCAAGGGGACAATACTAATAAGGCTTTTCCTTATATGGTTAACTTGTCTTTTATATTTATCAATGGAAAAAGGTATCAAACTATAAAATGACAATGCCCACTTATGAGACGAGGGGACTTTGATTTTTGTGTGGATTACTTATCCTTGTCAATGTATGCAAACTTTTTGAAGGTAATTATATTTATTATGTGGATTTAAACTTTCTTTTACGTACTCTTCACTAATATGTATTCAGCTAAACACAATTCCTTCAATCTGTAAAAGTTTGATTATCGACATAAATTCCATATGAGATAGGTTAATATGACATAATACACTGTGATAATAAGGTAATTAATAACTCGATAACGTTTCGAACACAACTTATTGACCAAAATCATATCAGTGTGTTTACACGGATTCATAATTTACTTGATGTATATTTCTCTCCCCGTTGATATTTATTCCGCCTTCTCATAAGTCAGGGATAGTTGTCGCATCACCCTGTTGCACTGGTTTGGTCTTGATTTGATGAACAAACATTTGGCGATTAATCTCCCTCTACACCTATATATATATATATATATATATATGTATATATATATATGTATATATATATATATGTAGATGTATATATATATATATATATCTATATATCTATATATATATATATATATATATATATATATATTCTATCCCATTACATTTAAGTGCATGCATAGATGATTTAACTTAGTGGGACCAAGCATTCTAGATCTTAGTGAAAAAACACGTAGTTCAACGAAGAGTCTTATTTTCAGTGAATCCATTCACTTGGCTGTAAAATCGCAATCCTATATACTTATTTTTGTATGTGTGTGGCTCAATCAGTCGGTAGGTACAACGGACAAATAGGCATATTAGTGTACCAGTCGGATTCTTTACCGTTATAACAATTAGCAAGTGCACAGATAACAAATTGGCGACGAGTTTATTCAATTCAGGGCAGTTATAACGGTTTACTATATAGATATGGACATAAATGTGTATATCACATACCAGAATATCGAATAGAGGACAGATGGATTTAATGCTGAAGAGAAATGGACTATTCTTCGGAATCAACATAGAAAACTTGGTGTGGGGGTGAGATAAAGAGGCACAATACGGAAGACATCTGCAACTTGTGTTTGTAATATATGGTAGGCGTAATTTGCCGATATCTGTAAATACATTTGTCAATGAATAATGCCTTTATCAAATACTCTTGCGTCCTGCTATTACAATGGGTGCTCATAGTTTCTACTGTTTGAATAAGTTTGGTTTGTACTTCTCTGACAGGATTTCCGCGTGCTCATCTGTTTGCAAGTTCTCTCAGTGTCCAGCACGGGGCTGCAAAGGGGTCTTTCTTCTTATTTGTAAAGTTATGAGGATAAATGTTTCATGATACGTTTGGATGGCGGACGCTGAGTATGACTGACATAACTAGCTTTACAAGAGCAGGTGAATTGACAGACAAACATTGATGAAACCAGTAGTGGAAGCTTATTCTTCACTTTCATATGAAACAATGGTTTCGTAACTCCTCGTTAAATACCTTTTTTGTAACATGGATATTTATCTGTGTTTGCCCCATAGTTTGCTGCGCTGAAGAATAATCATCATTTGTATTTGGAAATTATTATCATACAGCTATTAATTTTTAATATTTTCAGTATTGAAGCTGGCAAACTCTTACCGTGGCAAAGTTACCAGTTATATCCAGCTCATCGTTCTGGACCTGGTCAAAAAACTTTAAAAATTGTGTCTAACGATCGTGCTGACGATAAAGGTATGTTTCGTCATATTTTCGATACAGTGAAGTAATTATTTATTTCAACAAAGTCTAGTGGGGATTATTTTCTAAATGTAAAAAATTACTTTTAAAATAATGATACATTATGCTGTTGAATTTAGTTTCAATGAAGGAAGAACAACAGTTTTTGAAGAATAATTAAATGGTACCATCATTTATTTCGTTGGTTTCTCATCACCTGCTTACAGCCTAAATAAATTATTATTAAGTTCATGTACAGAAAACTTTTAACATACTTGCAAATTTTACCTGATTTCAGTTGACAAGAAGTTCCAAACTTAATGAATAGTGCTCAGAAAATTAAGCTTAGAGAGAGTTCAAGTTTGAACAAAGTAAATGTATGCATCGAATGGTAAAGGAGTTACCTAACAAAGGTGTAAGGTATGTATAATGATGAGGAATTTATGATTCCCGAAAAGATGTTAAAAAACAACGGTTACCCTCAGAGATTCATTAACAAATATGGAAGATGTCAAGGCTCAAATATCAAACCGATCACAGTGGAAGAAAGCCTATCTTCATTCAACTCTATTTTAAAGGCGAAATTATTGCAGCAATAGTCAACAGAAGATTAAGTACGTCACTAGCCACAGCCTGTCCTGCAGCTAAGCTGGTTCCCATCTATCGGACAACATGCTCTTTGGTGCAGTCAAAAGTTGACAGATACCCTTTTTATGTTAACTGCAACTATGTATACAAATTTACATGTATCTGTGGGAGAAGTTACATTGGGAGAACAGAAAGAAGGGTACACTTCCGTTTTCCTGAACATGTACTGAAAAACCAACAGATTGAGCGAAGAAATATATTCCTTTTCAATTAGTTCCTCATCATCGGCTCTACAATAATATATAGTTTTTTACATCAAAATGTTTTGCTGATCAAGTGGTTATTTTAGTTAATCAGTTTTAGGTATAGACGGGGGTGAAATCAAGAGGTTAAAGGTCATCAAAAACAAATAACTAATATATGTTAGTAACAAGATATCTAAGTTTTAAAAGAGGGGTAAAAATTGCTTACGGAATTCAAGATAAGTTGATTCTTAGAAGTTGGCAACAAGTTATTACATAATCAAGAAATTTGTAAATAAGCAATGATGACTAAGAAGAATAGGATGACTCAGAAGAGTTACGTAGAATACAAACAAGTTAATAGAAATAGCTAGAATTGTAAAAATTAACAAAGTCAAAAGATAGTTACAAGAGGAGGGGAAAAATCGTTTTAAAAAACTTAATTCATATTTAGTTGGCCATGACAAAGAAAGGGGCTGTACAAATTCCCTTTGAAGACATAGGTTTGGCTTCTTCAGATGAATTCCGATTGCCTCTGCTGTATGTAAAAGTCGTACTGGTAGACTATGAGAGAGGTTGAGTAATATACGATAAATAACCTTAAAACCTTTGTTAGAGTCGATTTGATCTCCAGTATCTACGAGATGAGTTTGTATTGAGCTGCGTATAGCTTTATTCGGACCTTTGCCAAACCAAGATGAGAGGTGTTCAGAAATTCGACGATAAACTTGCCTGGTCGTACACCCTATGTAACTAGCTCCTCACGGGCAGTTAATGGCAAAATCTGACTAGTAGATCTCAACCTTTATAATGTTAGATACTTCTGATTGATGGATATGAGAGATGGATATCACTGACGTCAACCAGTGGTCCTGTTTGGCTAGGTCGAAGTGATGTTCACAACAGCCTGCTGTTTAGCTTATCTGGGCCGACTTCTTTAGCGGTTTACCCAGTTTGATTGATCTCAGGGAGCCGAACCAATTCAAACCACCCGAATTCTGACCAGCTACTTATATAAGTCAACTAGAAGTATGTACCGCCATGCAGTAATGCTTGCTTTCTTGATTACCACTTATGGCGCCAAGCAAATAACATATTGTGGTATAAGGATAAAGCTTGGGCACTGTAGTATGATTCCATTATGGATAAAATTTAATTATATCTAAACGAAGTGAGAAAGTTGTGTTAGAGTACCTTGATATGATTATGAGCAATAAATTGACCTCTAAACGTCATCAGTAAATATTACTGTATAATACTGATTAACTTCATCAAAATAAATTTTATCCATGATGGAATAATATATTGTAATATGAATAATTTCGGTTTCTAAAGTATACTGGCTAAGTTACACATCGAACTGTGTAGTTTGCAAATTGCGAATTTCCTTCAAATCTCAGCCTAATTTTCTTTTCATGGTATTTTAGTGTTTTTGAAGAGTTCAGTGACCTCGTATATTAGTTGTGTGGGACGTAAGTGAATTAATGTGTAGATTTTCTATCACTTAATTAATTAATATCTAACATCTTATGTAAGCAGTAAGCGAAAAGCAAACATTGACAAAAATTGAAACTGCTTCATGGGGCATAGGTCATTACTAATAATGTAACTATAAACAACATCATAAGAACGATATATTCAATCTCCAAAAGGGTTGTGCGCTTTAACACATTTTTCGGGATCATTATTGCGAAATTATAAGTTTTGCAGTTTTTATGTTCGCAGTGACTAGGCATGTGACTGTAAACTTGCCAAATGAATTATTAGGAACTGTGTCATGGGATATATGAAGATAATATTACATACACTGCTAAAAATTGCATTCAACATGCTGCTGCTGCTGGATTCAACATAGAACTTGGCACCGAAGGGCAGCAGTTCGAGTTGCCACTTTCCAAATGGCACACAAAAGTAGACAAGAAAATGAGTGAAGAGAATCAATGGAGTTTTGACAAGTATAAGAGTGAAACAGAATGAGTAGTGGTAGAAAGGAATATGAAAGATTACAGAGACTGAATACATCTGCGCCATTGACAACGATTTTGAGCCATTTCACCTAGTGTCTCCAGCCGTTGATTTTTAGAGTCCCGAGGGCCCCAACCCGGAAGTCTGCATCTCCCTACCTGACTCAGTTTAACTGTCAGGGATTTCATGGATTGATGCCATGTTTCTGTTTGGCCACCACTTACTCTTTTTTCCAACCTGAACCTACATCAGCTAGTAATGCCCGTCGGGGGAGGCGATGGCTAGGCATGCGCAGCACGTCACCTAGCCATCTCAATCTATGTAACTTTATAGCCTCTTCGATTGATTTTCCCTCTTTGCGCAACACTCTACGCCTAACGTCAACATTACTTACCTTATTATACCACCTAACGCGAGAAAGAGATCATAAACATCTGTGGTCAAAAACAGACAATCTCTTCATGTCTTCCGCTCTCAATGGCCACGTCTCACCGCCATAGAGAAGGACGGAGCGAACTGCTGAGCAGTACACACGTCCTTTGATTGATAGCCGGATGTCACGCCCACGCCAGAGACGGTGTAAGTTACCGAAAGCAAGCCGAGCTTTTTGGATCCGTGCTGAGATTTCGTCACCAATCAATCCGTTGGTGCTGATACAACTTCCTCATATAGGTGAAGTGGTCAACATGTTCTATCACTTCACTCCCTATCACGAAGCTAGGAGTTGACGTAGTCCAGTCATTCCTGTAGCAGCATCTTACATTTTACAGGGGCGAATCGCATGCCAAACATACGAAGATTGCTGCTCAGGGTGTTCAGAAGACTCTGAATTTTGTCAGCGTCCTCCCCTAACAGGACTATGTCATCTGCATATTCTAAGTCCGTAAGACTATTCCCTGGTAACAAGTCGATTCCTAAGTCGTTAAGTTCAGTTTAGGATACTTCCATTAGCATATCTATGATGAAGTTAAACAGAAAAGGGGAAAGTGGACATCCTTGACGGACACCACTGGTTGTTATCAATTCAGACGACAATTCCCCATAAGCCATTACATGGCTACGTGAGTTTGAGTAGAGTGCCTTGATTAGTGCAATGTACTTTCTTGGCACTCCCTTCACAGTCAAACATCGCCATAGTACCTCTCTATCCACGGAGTCGAGGGCCGCCTTCAAGTCAAGAAATATGGCAATTGTTGGACGCCTAAAAGTGTGTCTATGTTCTAGGATCTGTCGGAGAGTGAAGATATGATCTATGCACCCTCTACCTGGCCTAAAGCCTGCTTGATTTTCCCTCCTTTGTTCCTCCCGAGTTCGGCTTAGTCTGTGCATGATTACTGAGCCTAGGATTTTAGAGACTATGTTCGTCAGGCTGATTCCCGATCATTATCACATGAGGACTTGTCTCCCTTCTTGAATATTGGTATAATAAGTGACTTACCCCAGTCTGATGGAACCGTTTCTGATTCCCAGACGTTACCTAGTACCTTAGTTAAACTATATACTGGTGTGTCACCCCCATATTTAAACACCTCCGGATTAATTCCGTCGGGTCCTGCCGCTTTGCCTCGTTTCAGATTACAGATAGCTTTGGTGACCTCACTTACAGACGGCGGGCCAGTGTCTATATCTCATTCTGGTGTATGCTGGATGGCGGGAAGGCTCAGTGTGGCCGTAGGCAAGTTAAATTTTTCCTCAAAGTGTTCCTTCCAGCCTTCAACATGAATAACTCATGTTTAGACAGTTCAAATGGAGAGAGAGGTAAACCACAATATTTCATCAGTTTTACTTTGTGTATTACTCAGTTTTGATTTTTAGGGGGAAACAAAACAAAAGTGCACAGAGTCGATAGTTCTGTCCTGTCAGTAAACATCTCTTGGTCGAACTATATTATTATTATTTATTATTGTTCTCTTGGGTTCTGAGTGAAACATAAAAGGCTTCAAGAGCACATCTCCACTTTGTCCTATTCTCTGCGGTCGTATTTAGTTGGCCCTACGACTGACCATAGTCTCTGATACCCTCCTCGCACAATTACTTCCATGTCACCCTTAGATGCCCCACTCGTCGTTTCCCATTCGGGTTCCAATCGAACTATGACTTGGCGCGCGAAGTCATAGTTCGATGGTCTCATCAGCATATACTTAGTCCATCTCCACTTTCTTCTACATAATCAGTAAGCAATCGGTTTAGTATTAGGATTTCTTGTTGCTGATTCTTCCTGATCATCTGATGTTCAACATAGAGGGAAGGTAGCTGTTGATTAAAGTCTGTATCGGACTGTTGGAAATGATTTTTGTGAAGCACACCACTAGTTTCCGACCCATATGGAATAACTGACTGATTTAACATTTGCGTTGTAAATCCGAATCTTGTTGTTTATACTACGCAGTGCAGACGATTTTCAGACTGGTTTGAGGTTGATGAAGACTTAGTTTACCTTTCTGGTTTTGACTTTGAAAACATCCGTTCCGCTTCGCTTTCTACATAAGTGAAGGAAGTAACTTCTCTCAAATTTCTCCAATTGATAGTGATTCGTGCTGGCTGTAGTTACTATTGGATGGTCATCACCTTCGTCTCCTTTATTTTCACCTGCAGTCCTGTCTTCACTGCCTGCTTCTTCAGTCTGAAACATAATGCAATAAACAGCAATTAGAAATGTGCCGTTGTCATAAAGCTATTGGTCGAACTAATTTTGTTATCTAATTCATAACAATCAAGTCACAGGAGTTATCTGAAAATAATGGCTTAGACGTGGTTTGTCTGCTTCGAATGTAACTGATTATAAAGGTCATCCTAGCAGCCATACTAGACACCCATCGTAAGCTCAGTCTGCACATATGTGACCGCGAAAGAAATCAAGTAACCGTAATATTGACAATTGGTTGCCAAGGCGCATGTGCTTTTTTGAATAGTAATAATGATACAAGAATAAAACTTGGTTACTGTATCAGAGTATCCCTTTTTGGTACTGTGCAAGGACTGTGAAGCCAACTACACAAGTCAAACCAGTAGGTCAAGCGTAGTCATATTATCAACAAATAAGAGTTTAGCTAAGTGTGGAATTACTGACCCCGAAAAGATGAGTAATACAGAGTGAGACGAAAACAACCCAGGAATTGCACTGCATGCATTGACTGACTGCTTTTAACGTAGAACTTTGCACAGATGTCTAGCAGTTCGAGTCGCCACACTCCATGTAGCACACAAAGCAAGAGAAGAAAGTAAAAAGAAATGCAAAATAGAGACAGTAAACAGAGATATGAAGCAAAATGAATAGTTATATCGAAAAGCAAGAGTTTTATTGGGTATTTTAAGTCACAAGGAATGGATGCATCTGCGCCAGCCATTGAGAACGATTTTGAGCCATATCACCGATTATCTCCAGCCATTGGTGTTTACCATCGCGAGGACTCCAACCAACCACCCAGTCTACAGCTTCCTACGTGGCTTAAATTACTGTTGTGGATTTCATTGACTGATGAAGCCATGTTTTGGTTTGACCACCACCAGCTCTTTTCCGACCTGATCCATCCAATGTTAGCTAGCATTGCCTGTCGAGGAAGGCGATGTCTAGGCATGCTCAACACATATCCTAACCATCTCAGTCGATGTAACTTCACAACCTCTTCAGTTGATTTCCCCTCCTTACCTAGCACTCGATCGAAGTCTTATCTCAATATCGCTCACCATATTATACCATCTAACACGGGAGATAGAACGCATGCACTTATAATCAAAAACAGCTAGTCTTTTCATGTCTTCCACTTTCAGTGGCCCATGTCTCACAGCCATAAAGGAGGACGGAGCGAACTGCTACCAAGCAATACACACGCCTTTCGGTCGATAGCCAGCCGGATACCATGTCTACGCCAGTGGTGGCGTAAGTCGGCATATGCAAACGAGCCTTCTGTATCCGTGTTGAGATTGCTTCAGCGATCAACCCGTTGGCGCTGGCTGATGCAACTTCCCAAATGAGTGAAGTGGTCAACACGATCCACCACTTCATCCCTTATCGTTAAGCTAGGAGTCAATGTAGTCTAGTCCAGTCCAGTCATGTAGCATCATCTTGCATTTAACGGCAGGACGCGAATCACATGCCAAACACTCGAAGATTGCTGGCGCTCAAGGTGTTCAGTAGACTCTTCACGCAGGACGCAGGACTATATCATCTGCACATTATAAGTCAACGAGATTATTCCCTAGTAGCAAGTCAATCCTTGAGTTACTGAAGTCAGTCAGGGTCAATTCTATTAGTACATCTGTGATGAAACTAAACAGAAATAGATACAGTGGCCATCCTTGACGGGCACCACTGGTTATCACCACTTCAGATGACAACTCGCTTGAAGTTCTTACCTGGCTGGTTGCATGAGTTCGAGTAGAGTGAGTGCCATGTATACTCCCGGGCATTCCCTTCACAGCCAAACATAGCCATAGTAAAAGAGAAGACATTCAGCGAAGAGACTCTTTTCGGCGAATTCATTCACATAGCTGTACAATCGCATTTATATATAAATATTTGTGTGTGTGTGTGTGTGTACATGAGGTTTGTCAAGTTTAGATAATTGATTAGTTAATACAAGAATGATGTAGTATAGAGACAAAGTTAATCAGACAGCAACTAAAGTAAGACTGAGTTAAAAAACTAGATGACGTAATATAATTGGCTAAAATGTTACAACTTAGGTCAGGATAGCAACAGAGGTAATTACAGGTAGAGATTAAGTAGAAGTGAAATTGAGTGAATAAGTTGGATGACGTAACATGAATGACTAGAAACTGAGCGTTGTTCAAGTCAGTAACAGTGGTAGTGGGGTGTAGAGATTGAATCGGGTGGGGGTAGAGAACAAGAAAGTTGAAAATGTAAAATGTTACAATTGAGAAGACAAAATAATACTAATGAAGAGAGAAGAAAAGATTAGATAGAATTTACATGTCGGCTAATAAGATAGATTACGTCCATTGCAAGTGTAGTGATTGAACGAACTTCTTCTGTATGCAGAGTTCAGGACTTAGCAAGTGAATCACCATTGGTCTCCCCAAAGGTGTACGAATCAGACTTCTTCAAACTGCTAAGTCCTGAACTCTGCATACAGAAGAAGTTCGTTCAATCACTACACTTGCAATGGACGTAATCTATCTTATTAGCCGACATGTAAATTCTATCTAATCTTTTCTTCTGTCTCTTCATTAGTATTATTTTGTCTTCTCAATTGTAACATTTTACATTTTCAACTTTCTTGTTCTCTACCCCCACCCGATTCAATCTCTACACCCCACTACCACTGTTACTGACTTGAACAACGCTCAGTTTCTAGTCATTCATGTTACGTCATCCAACTTATTCACTCAATTTCACTTCTACTTAATCTCTACCTGTAATTACCTCTGTTGCTATCCTGACCTAAGTTGTAACATTTTAGCCAATTATATTACGTCATCTAGTTTTTTAACTCAGTCTTACTTTAGTTGCTGTCTGATTAACTTTGTCTCTATACTACATCATTCTTGTATTAACTAATCAATTATCTAAACTTGACAAACCTCATGTACACACACACACACACACAAATATTTATATATAAATGCGATTGTACAGCTATGTGAATGAATTCGCCGAAAAGAGTCTCTTCGCTGAATGTCTTCTCTTTTTCATATGACTCAATGGGGATTTTCAATATAGCCATAGTACCTGTCGGACGATGGAATCGAATGCCACCTTCAGGTCAAGAGTTATGACGGTTGTTGGACGCCGGTAAGTATGCCACCTGCGTTCCAGAATCTGCCGAAGAGTGAAGATATGATCAAAACACCCTCTTCCTGCTCTAAAGCCTGCCTGGTTCTCACGTCTTTGTTCATCTCGGGCACCACTTAGTCTACGCATTATTATTCAGCCTAGAACTTTAGATACCATATTAGTCAAGCTAATCCCTCTGTGATTATCACAGGAAGACTTGTCTCTCTTCTTGTGTATAAAGATAATCAGTGACTTACACCAACCCAACGGGACGTCCTCTCATTCCCAGACGCTGCAAGATTCCTCAGTGAGGTAAACCACTCAGGTGCATGAGAATGAATGTCTAAAATCTAGGTCATAATCTTCTTGTAGAAGTGACTTAGCAAGATAATTTATGCCGATACTGCTACCACTAAATTTCTTTTCGACTTTTCGTAGTCCGGCTTCACCAAGTACTTGTGAATATTGTGGGTGTTTCTCTAATCTCCCTAATTAGTGATAACCTAATGTCTGAAGGCTTTATTTTCTGCTCTGTTGGCTGAAGTGGCAGAAAGGATGATTATTTGTTTTCTCAATTTTAGGCTCAGAACAAGTGGTGACAACTTCACATGGTCGTGTGGAAACAGAGGATAATCCGAATGATAATATGTGAGTAAATTTAAAATTATTTGTCGTTTTATGCTATATGCTACTTTTTGGTTGTTATGAGTAGTTGACATCACTCAGATCAAACAGTCCTGTGTTATCCACAACGATGTTACCTAAACACCGGGTGGTGCTTTAACTCGTTTTGGACCGAGCTGACTAGCTATGTATGTGGTTCGACTCAGCTTAGACAACCTAATCACTGATATTTCTTTTCGTTTCTACTTAACCTCAATATGTTGTGTTTTCAATAAACTTAATTTGGGTAAGCTGTAAATGTAAACGCCTAGATTGTAAACGTCGAAAGCTATCCCACTGTCGAACTGAAGTTGTTAAGCATTAAAGTGTGCCATAAGTTGAAATGGTACATTGCTCGAGATTTTGATGTGTCTGTATTCTCTGGTCTAGGTGGTTAAATTGCTAAACTTACAGTGTTCTTTTAGACAACATCTACAGCGCAGACTTCACTTTTCTGCATATAGCTGTCTCTTTAAGCAAGACTTCAGAGGCCCACTTAATAACCAGAGGTGTTTCCTTATCAGTCAGTCATATGTTCTTGAAGCATTAATAAGCGTATATACTTCGAAACCTATGCTGTGTTTACATATATGTATTAGTTAATGTTCGCAGTAATTAAATTTATAGATGAGAAATTTTATAGTTCATTTGTATATCTGTGAATCCGATTGTATATCATATTGCAGGGGTTGGAATAAGCTCAACTACTTATAAGATATTTCATATAATGTATTTTGTACGCATCTCCTTATAACTGATAAAAGATATCAACCGCCAGTAGTGATGTGTGTTTTCACATAAAGGATTTTGATACTTTCTGTTAACGTACGTTAGCTTTCACCTAGGCTTATATATTATTTTCTGGAGTTGGTTTGTAAGGATTAAATTTGTTTTACGAGTTTGACCATGGATTGATATCGGTTAGAGAACTATTGAAAAACAGGGAGTATTGGATAGCTGTTTCATGTATTCATATTTATTCAATAAGATATTCGACGCCTACTATGATGTGGTTAAACTAATCAATCGACTACTCAGACGATGAATACTACTAATAAAAAACTAGCAGATTAAAAGACTCGTTTTGTCTGGTTTGTTATTCTTCATCTCCAGTTTTATGCTGACTGAATGTGGATCTCGTGTTCCTAGACACTGACATATTTCTTTCCTGTCTTCATTTTTGTAATGCAAAATAGTCTTCATTGTGCTTTAGTTTTCGGAGATTTTTATAAGCAGGTTAGTGTAGCAGTTTTCTTTGAAGACTTTTTGGAGGAAGCAATAGGTCCTTCTACTTTAAGCCATTTCAAATAATAAAACAATCTTTTAATCTCACGTTAGATTCGTGATGAACGATTGAAAGTTTCATGTGTAAGTTAGATTTTTCCACAGGTTTCACATTGTCAAGCACTGATTTTGCTTCTCATCCTTAGTTATGCATTTCTGTTTGTGATGATCGAAAGAATCACTGGTGATATGCGTCGGTGGCACAGTGGTTAGGACTCTCGCCGACCATGCACATGGTCCGGGGTTCGATCCCCTGCCGGCGCACACCCGATATCTATGGTCGGCCTGAATTTGGGCTACAGATATCCATGCTGAAAATTCCACACTTGTACTGAAAATACGGTGTGGAATCAAGCTGTAAATCAAAATAAAAAATAAAAATAAAAGTTGCTTTTTCTGTTATACTGCATTTATAGTCTGTCAAAATGAATCATTTGGTATCAGTCATTTTATATAGTCCTACTCATGTGTATCAACTTCTAATTATATTTGGTTCTAGTAGCAGGCTACTTCATCAAGTCCCTCACATCTGAATAACAAATTCACAGCTTTCCAGAAATATGAGATCTCCTGTGTCCCTGAAATAAACGTCTGTCATTTTTACTCTTAATTCAAACAGTACGATTATAAAGTGAAATGGTGTTTCTAAATTCTTGTGTAGAATATCTTGTAATGCGTAGTCACTAACTTTTTTGCACCTCAGGTAAAAGTTATCATTCTTTGTATCCATATTTTAGTATCTGCAGTTCATAAAATGTACCTTCCACATGTGTAGGTTGTATGTAGTGCATATTCCAATCGTACTGCACCGATTGTAGGTTGGAAATTAAGTTTATAGAAGTACTTTGGAAGCCATTTTCTGTGATGCGATCAAACGACCTCGTAGCTCTGGATGGATTGAACAGGCTAGGACAAGCAGCAGACATATATATATATATATATTTATATATATATATATATATATATATATATTGTTAACAATAAAATTAGCAGTAAAACAAAAGTATTCAGACTAGTTAATGAATATAAGAAAAATACAAAAGGCATAGAATATGAATATAATAAAAGATAGTTCAGTGTTACAATTCATAATAAAGCTAAAAGTATCAAATCAATAGGATTCTGTTACAATTCACTCCAGTTTTATTTTGCTTCACTTCTTCAGTGTATTTTCAGCTAGTTAATAGATAGTTAAATTAATTCATATAAAATTAGAATGTGAAGCACACAATTTCTACTAAAGTTAATTAGCGGCTAACAGAGATAACAAAATAAATAACATAAAGTATGTGTGTAGGCCTTTGGAACGTATGTTTTTGGTTAGAAACAGAATTACAGATAAATAAGACTTGTAAAGATTCAAGGAAAGAGTAGAAAACAAGTGGAACTATACTGACCTACACTGTTTTAATTTAGAAGTTTTCCTGTTGCTATGTTTATTGTTTTTTGTTTTACCTAACGGAATACTGAAGTTGGACTAAGACCTGTCGACATTAAACTTGAAACTAGCTTTGCGTTACATATCAAAAAATAATATGCAAAACTGTGGTTGGTCACCAATTTTTGTTATGCTTCATGAGATAGGTGCCTGAATGGTAACATTAAAAGATCACATCCATGCCTTTACTTGTAAACTGAACGCATACATTTAGGAGAGCAATAAGCTAGTGGCCATTGTCTGTTTTATGTACTTATTTTCTATGCAGCATTCTAAAATCTTCATTCGATGAAATATTTCCCGTGTAAATTAGTTGATCTAGTAATTCTCATTGTGATACAATATTCACTGAAGAGACTTTCTGATAGGATCCCACACTCTTTGTTATTGTTCAATTATTTTAACGACTGTTAATCTCGCATAAGTGGTATATTATCATTTCCCAGGCACTTTGTTATTGTTCAATTATCTTAACGACTGTTAATCTCGCATGAGTGGTATATCATCATTTCCCACGCATTTCGTCATTGACTATTACGACCAATTATTTCAAATACTGTTAGCTGTCTGTATTGGTTGTAAAAATGTATAAATACCATTTCCTAGATAAGTTTATTGTCGTCGTCGTAGTTTGTCGTAGTTGTTGTACTACAATAAACAGTCACAGACCAGACTTTGTCTTTTGATATTTGCGTGGTTGGCTGAATCGGAGGGTACCAGAAGCAGATAGGCATATTAGTCAGGCGCAGACAGAACAAGGCGACAACGTCCTCATTAAATTCTCCTACAGTTATAACACTTTCCAACGAATTTATTATCAAGTCGTACAAACGTATATATTAATGGATTTTTTGACAGGTATCTCTTTCGAGCATACTTAAATATTAATTGCCAATAATAATGATGATAATATAAATTACCTCAAAATATTTGTAAGAAAAATCAGATTGGAAACACTTACTTTCATTTTCAGTCTCGTAAAACTACCTGAAAAGGTGTGATTTGAAATACATGACTGATGAAATGCAACTGTCTCAAATTCGACAATAGTTTTACATCTAAGGTCAGCGTTTCCTCCAACGTTTCAGTCATCTGTTTTGAGAGGTCACTAAACCACCGTTCTTATAGAAGGTCGTTTCTCTTATCATTAGGTTTTACTGTCAGTTTTCCTAGTGAGTCTAATCAGTCGTCCAGTATTACTCTCCTCTTATGCCTTTCCCATCCCTAAGGCCCACCACTATTGTTCTTCAGCACGGAGACTTTTAGTCAGTGTTGATTGGAGTAGCTTTCACTCCTTGCCTTGTTCGGAGCCTTCCAGTGTCTTCTAGTTCAGATGATGCAACAGAAATAACCAACTGGCACTTACTATAACTTTTGGTTTTGGGTTGTGAACAGCCTTTACTATATTTTGTACAGTACCCTGGATATTATGCCAGGCTTCCTCAAAATGAGTTTTGCTGTCAGCTTCAGATACGCATTCAATTGTTACATTCACTAGTAAAAACTTTGCGTCCTTATCACAAAGTTGGTGACTTTGAGGTTTTGTAGGGACCTGTTTTTTGTGTCTATCCTATCGTACATGTATGGACTAGTGCGTGATCGGAGTATGCGCAGGTACTCCAGAAGGACTGACAATCTTCTACAGACACTTTGCATCTATGGAATTTTTTATACCTGTGTAGGTAGTTTTCTCTGATTACAGCCTTTATACCTCGTTCGACTAGAACAGGTAAAGTGGTAAAGACGCAAGCAGTCATATGAGGGATACACGTTTAGATAACTTATTTCAGTTAGTATGGGTAGACTGAAGTTTTATCGCAAAGAACGTCTCACTAACTGATCTAAACAGAGTGAATTCAAACCTCCTTACCTTTGATTTCCAGATTCACACATTGGTTTTCTTTGAAACTGGGTTAGTGATCAGTTTAGGATGTTTCTCCATCTTTTTGTAAATAAAGCGGTTATATCGGTGTTCAATTCAGTATCACAATTTTACATATTACCACATACATATATTTTGGACTATAATCTATTAACAATCTAATTGCAAATAACCTTTGGAATTCTGATATAAATGAATTGATGTTACTCTTTAAAAACCACTAATGTTGTCAATAACAATCATTCTTTCACTATTAGTGATGTATAACTGTAGAACCTGATGATGGAGTTATCGAAAAGAATATTCTTTGTTCAGTAGTCAATCTTTTGAAATTTCTAATAGGTATCTTTATTCAATTAAAAATTTCGTGTAAACACAGTT